TGTACCCATAATATGTGTTCAGATTCGCGAAGGATTTATTATTTCGTTTTAGCTTGCCATTGTATTGTGATACAAGTACCTAAGAAATCTGCAACTTTCAACTCGTGATTGTATATTAGCTTTGATTTGTATTGTGACTGCCCGAGAAATTCTGTAACTTAGAATTGATCTTATGGGTTCTGATCACTAAGTGTAATGCCGATTTAATCCTTATTAAAAAGGAGTTGTTTGTTGTTACACGGGAAACGCGGCGCAGGGGCGACCATTTGAAATTTCCCTTGTTATGCCCTCGCTTGGCAGGGTGGCCAAGTGGTTACATTTCAGAGTATCAAGATTGGAGCAGAGAGGTGCGGATTTGATCCCAGCTGCCTGCGCCAGTTTCTGGTCAGAATTTGCGAGGAGGCCGGGCGGTTAAGCAATGCAAAATTGGAGCAGTGAGTTGCATGTTCGAGACTGCAACAAGCTGTGAATGATCTGCGATGTTAGGAATCAGCAACAGGCCTACGGCCTAATAAACGCTGTAACCGTTAGTAACAAACTGGCTCTCGCGTTATGTGATAAGGTATTGTAGTCAAGCCGTTACCTGCTTTAATGGTTCAATGTCTCGCTCAAGTGACTTGAAACTAGGTACAAAATAATGGTCAGTATTTTAGTATTAAGTAAAGTAGCAGTTACCTACGCATTATACACGTAATGTAAACCAATCACGGTGGTGCTCAGAGGTCAGACTTTCGAAACTGGCTCGTGAAATTGTAGCGGCCTAAGTATACGTACCGTCCTATGTACACATAGCGGCCTAAGTACACATAGCGGCCTAAGTACACATAGCGGTTTAAGTACACGTATCGTCCTAAGTACATGTAGCGGCCTAAATACACGTAGCGGCCTAGGAACAAGTAGTGGTCTAAGTTGTCCTAGCTGCCTAAGTACACGTAGCGGCCAATTTCTTGTCTGTGATTGGTGCATTTAGCTTGAAAAGCGATCAGTGATTGGCTGACGGATTTCCAAATGCAACTATTTTTGACAGTACAGCCGCATAGCTGATATATTTGCTAATTATAAGCGAATGTCAATATGTGGTCTGATCTTCCAATGTCAACTTGTGGTCTGATCTTCCAATGTCAACTTGTGGTCTGATCTTCTAATGTCAACTTGTGGTCTGATCTTCTAATGTCAACTTGTGGTCTGATCTTCTAATGTCAACTTGTGCTCTGTTTAAATTTCGTAATCTCAGTTCTGTTGAACTGAGATTACTATTATGCTCTGTATGTCTAGAGATTACTATGGTGCTATGTATGTCTAGAGATTACTATGGTGCTATGTATGTCTAGAGATTACTATGGTGCTATGTATGTCTAGATATGGTGCTATGCATGTCTAGAGATTACTATGGTGCTATGCATGTCTAGAGATTACTATGGTGCTATGTATGTCTAGAGATTACTATGGTGCTATGTATGTCTATTGATTACTATGGTGCTATGTATGTCTAATCTAATGCCTGATCTCTCATGAGATGTTAATTTCAATATTTTAGATGAATTAGGTTTTCTGTCATTTCATTATAGTTCATTGTAGCATTAAACTGTGTAACGAGCTGACGTCTCATAGCTAGATTATTAGTTTACATAAGTTCCAGTATTATACTTTACTTTTTAAGAAACTTGAGTAAGGCACAAACGTTTATACTTGCACGATGCTTGTTTGCTAGATACAGTATTCACTTTTTTCGGAGTTCACGTTATTGAGAAATTATGTACATTGAAAAAATTATGGTTATAGTTGTCCAAATAACATTACTTTCTCCGCGCAGCGCCGATGAGCATCCTTTCCGGGCCAAATTGGGTAGGCTGGTGCTGGTCCATTGTAAGGCGAAAGGTGCATCGCTATTAGGACAAAGTCACACTCATTTCTCTTATTGATGTCTTAAAAAGGAATATTAGTATGATTTTTTGGCATCGATTTTTCATTCCAAAATTGGTTTTTTAATCGATCGCGACGTCTTCATTGCCTTACTATGTCCCGTTACATCATGCATATCATACTTCACTTAGAAACTCTCGTGTTTCAACTGCGGCTTCATCGAATGGAAATAATTATTAATTTCTTAATAATTATTAAATAATTACGCGTCTCATTATCCCTACTGCGTTTACCGCCTTAGAATCCGTTGGTACGAAGAGCTGAGGTCTGTTCACTAGAGATAATTTAAACGAAATGTTGCTCAGCATTAAGTGATTTTATTAATTCAAAATTTCTTTATAAAATTCGTATTAAAAATCATATTGGATTTGAAAATTACATGACTCCGATTTTGAACATAAGAGGGCCAAGTTTCTAAAGATATATATATTTTAATCCGTTGCATTAGATGTGTCGTTGCATGTCTGATGAATGAGCAATATATTTAAAAATTTTATGATGTATATTTCAGAATAAAAGATGACCGAGCTTTCTGTTTCGTAATGCATTCAAAAACATTATACTTTGAAAGAAATGACGTTACTCAAATCAAATTCCGTTGTGGATTATTGTGTCGTTCAATATCTAATAACGATATGTTGACGCAAAATTATTTCTGAATCAATCGTCTGTGTTCAAATCCACAACAAATTTCGTTGATTTATTGACTAAAATTAATTTTTGGAGACTAATAAAGAGTTGAAGACAATGACGGAAGAGACGTCGGAAAACTTTTTTTTTCCTGTATCAGCTCTGAAATTTTTAAAAATTCTATCCCTACAGAACTTAATAGTAAAAATTTGTGACACAACCGACAGTTAACCTGTTAATTTTCATAATGCATAATAAAAATACAATCAAAATACTATTGATTGCTCATTGTTGAAATTAAGTAAATCACTCTGAACACTAATAACAGATACGACATGCATGAGCGGTAGTTGCTCTTCGTCGTTTATGCGGCGCTGTTGCCAAGGAGAGCTGTGGCGGACTGTGCTGAGCGTTAACGAGAAATTAAAAGTAGTTAATTAGTGAAGTAATTTGCCCGCACGAGCTAGCTAAATTGAATGGGTCACACACAATCCATCCAAACTAAAATTGGTGGGTCACTTCCCTCCAGACTCGTAAATTGTGTCGTTCAAATTGCGTTTTCATCACAAGCGAAAATTCATCTAACTAGTGTGAGCCTTGTCCGTCAATCGTATAACAGGAGCGCAATTTTTCATTTATGGTATAACATTATACTTATAATCAACGTTATTGATAGGATTTTACTACCTTAATATTATGGAGGCGATTTGTGGTGACATGCCTTGACAATGGCGCAATACAATAAAATAACATCACTAGTGATCTTTTTATCTCAATATCATCACTAATTTTATTGCATCAATAACTATGCATTAACATTTAGGACTTGTTGCAATGGCTAAGGCTTTGGCTTATTATAACATATTACACATAACATAATATTAACCGCCTATCGTTATCATTCCTGACAATGTTAGGAAATTCGGTAGAAAAAATGTTAGAAATATTTCAGTCGATGAGGGAATATCAAAGTAACAATGTCTGTCATCATATTGCCATTTTCTATGAAATGTCTCATAGAGATGTTTTTAGCGCTAACCAGACTAAAAAGGTTTTCCAGTCCACACCTCAGGGTAATAATAAATGAAATAAAATAAATATGGCTTTGTCTTCATTAAGTAACAATAAACGAAAAGATAATCGGGTAAAAAAATATATATTTTTTATTAAATGCTGAGGTAGTGGGCAAATTTACCGATATCGTAGAATTTCCCCCCCGAATTCATGTCCAACTTGAGATGAGAATATGATGTGTTGTTCCTATGAGTATGTTTTGTGACAAAGTAAAATATATCAATAGGAATCATGGACTAATCCCATCCGCTTTATTTCGAAAATATCAGGAACAGGCTTGTTATAAATAAATTTACAAATATAATCCACTACGATAGGGAAATGATTCACTGTGATGATCTGAGTGATCCGGGCCTCTAAGCGCTTCATCTCCCGTTGTTATGAGGCGCTGCTGACAGGAACGGCGCTGTTGTTGCGTGCGGCGGCGAGGATAGACCCCCGCCCCCAAGGGCTTGCTTGTCTTATTAATTATTATTTATATTAATTTATTGTGTGTGTGCCGTGCCTACGCTGTTTATGCCGTTTATGATGATGATACTGTATGTATATTTATGTATTTTAATATATTTTGGAGAAATTAAATGTATGGACAGTTAACAACGGTAAAAAGATCATTGATAATTTTATAATTACGAACATTAATTAATTGTCAATCAATTAAACCGCGAACGTAGAAAAGCTCCATACAGAATATCAACAATTAATGTCATTTCGAGCTCTGTTCGATTGTATCATCTATGGACATCGTGCTTATTGGCTTACAAAGAGAAATTTTCTGAATATTTCGCGTGTATTTGGGTTAACAGAACTGCTGTACACTGTACAATGAAACTACAACACTTGCGAACTGAATTCCTTCCGTGACTGGGTGCGAACGAGGAAATGTTAGTTTGTGGAAACAATATTGGTATTTAATGTGCATTAAGAAAATTAAATAAAATATAGCACTTAGTCGGTTATGGAATTCGGTTCGCTTCGTATGTGCAAAAAAATCTCGAACCTCTGATTCGTACCTGGAAGAGTTCGCAAGTCGAAGTATCACTGTACATGACAAAGATTGAATTGAAACACACATTTGTATAATGCACGGTATCTTAAAGCAGCACGGCTTCTGTGGTGCTCGGTATCTTGAAGCAGTATGACTACCGTGATGCACGGTATCTTAAATGATCTTATCTTAAGTTGTATTCAACCGCAAAATTGTATAGTAACATCCATCACCCCCTGCGTTTTAGGGTGGTCATCACCCCCTGCGTTGCAAGGTGATCATCACTCCCTCCGTTGCAGGGTGACCATCACCCTCTGCGTCGCAGGGTGACCATCACCCTCTGCGTCGCAGGGTGACCATCAGTCCCTGCGTCGCAGGGTGATCATCACCCCCTGCGTTGCAGGGTGATCATCACTCCGTGTTCTGGTCGTAGCGTTAGTTCTTTCCTAAGGCCGAGTTCATCGACGGTTTGCCTGCACGTCACTTCAAAGGTACGCAACAAGTGCGCCAGCACGACCTTCATCTCCATCATTCCGAACTTCTTGCCTGTGCACAACAAAAATAAAGTTAAGACTTAATTACATAGCGAAAAACAAAAGGGGTATATGCTCGAGTGATCCCCATTCGATCAAGTATGTCGAAACTACTTAGATTGAATCATTAAACTCCAATAACTTCTTAGATCTTTCATAAATGATTAGTTACCTAAATTGTTTATCCCCATAATATCACGAGTGGTTCTTAAAAGAACAGCTTAAATAAGAGTTTATAGGACCAATTTCACAAAACTTATACACGGCGATAAATATAGCGCCAATCTAAATCTACTTCATTGATCCAGGGCCCATACTTTCAAAAAAGTTAAGAGATCGTAAGTTCATCAGCCAATCATTGACGGCCTTTCAAGCAAAATCCACCAACCATAGACAAGAAAATAGAGCGTAAGTACTTACGTTCACTTAGCGAATTTGGAAAGTATGGCCCCAGAGCCTCAAAAGTGGTCAGGCACTTCGCCGATTTCGCGGCGATGACAAGCGGGCGCGTCGTCCACTCGTCTCGAACTCTGTAGAGCGTCAGTGAAACGGGAAAAGGATTGTACAATCCCCGAGAACAGGATTGTATGACATACCAATGCAGTTGCGGGGCCCGGCGCTGAAAGGAATGAAGGAGAACGGGTGCCTCTTGGCTGCCTCAGCCCCCAGGAAACGGTCGGGGTTGAAGTTGTCGGGGTCAGGGAATTGTTCGGGGTCGCGGTGGATGCAGTATACCATGATGATGATGTCCGTTCCTTCTGGCAGCTGGTAACCGTCTGGGTTAAATGAACAGGACGCAAAAATTAACACACTTGTAGGTGGGAGCTATACAGTAGATAGTGCGGGCTTCCTACGCCTATCGTTAGGATTATAATGCGGAGTGATTCTATCTTGAATAAGCTCACCATCATATACCATGGTGAATGTGCTTTTTTTCCAATATTTTATTATGTAGGTTTGAGTTTATTGGTCGATACATGCAAATGCTCCCGAAATTAAATAGCCAGTTTCGGTATCATGAGGCCAGTGGAATTCACATGCGCAAATAAATACATTATGATAAACAAACTTTCACACTATACATCTGTCCTTTCTTAACACTCGTCGGATCGCATTGTAATAATTGTACCTAAACTCGATACGATTAAAAAGATGTAAAATATTGCAGTATGACAAGGGTTAATTTGTTTACCTCGTTACTAGTTTACGTCGATACCCATCTCACCGGTCACGGCTGGTTGGTGGAGTCTGCGACTCAAAAAAGGGAATGGCGGGAAGAGCCTGAGGGCCTCTTTGATGCACGCCTCCAGGAAAGTCATGCCTCGCAGGGCAGCAGAAGTGATGGTTACGTCACCCTCCCCGAGGACCTCATGCAACTCCTGCACTACGCGCGTCTGAAAAAAAAGAGTAAATCGGGAATTATCACTTTTTACTGATCCCATTTTACTCGTTAATTAAATGACTCGACTTGATTAAAAATTCTTAGATAAAGATCAGGGAGGAAGTGGCGTTTTTTAACCTGCATTCGAACTCAGTCGTGGCTGCCCTGGAAGGTAGTATAGAGGTGATACATACGCGTGCCCTTCGGTTACCGTACGACCGCCAGGAAATTAATTTTCCGATCGGAAAAACAGAGTGAAAAGCTGATATCTAGCCGCTAATTTACTCGCTGGTCAACTGTCCGACTTCCCCTCGCTAAAAGCGGACAGGACCGAAATTTTAGGATAGGGTAGGGACACTAGTAGTTCTACAAAAAAAAGTCGCATGCGGACCCACCGGAACGATTTTTGCAATACAGAACACCCTGGATGAACTATGTACTTATTTATCAACCAGTTGGACCAATGGTTGAGTTGGCCACAAGCTGAGCGTCCTGAAGCAGCTTGTCCTGAGAGTGACTCGAAAACCCAGGTCGCTGGGTGCGAGAGACCGTGTCTCTCAACACTGTACCACAAAGTCCTCGGTCTAATCTCGAGAGGCTCGCCTGAATTTGTGGATGACAGCCCAAGAGGAATAGGGCGAAGTTGATCGTAGTGGCCACGGATTCGTGTCCTGCAAAAATGAACGTGTCCACCTCCGCCCTTATGTTTTCGTCAGACAGTGGCCTGTCGGGTTGTTCAGACGTTTCCAGCAGTATGTCCAGGAAAACAAGACGTTTCTTGCCACCTGAAGCACACAGTACAGGTTTTTTAGCGACATCTGGCAATCACGTAAATAGTGCCATACTAAACACAATCGTTTGCTTGGTAACCGAAATAATCTTATCTGATGATTACCACAGCTTTGCCATAAGACATCGCGCTTTCTGACGATTTAGAAAACTGGCAACTGACGGAACTCACAATCAAGTAGCAATAGCAACGCCAATTAACCATGTCAGCTGCGTTAACAGGCAGCACGGGTACCAGCTATCCGTGTTAGGCACCAATATAACTAAGTATCAAAAGCAAATCCAGTGCAAAGCCGAGTTAATTTCGAAAAAATATTCAATACACCTGCCGTTAGAAATTACAGGCTACAGATAATGCTCTCATGGATGATGCTTTGGATTAACAATTGTCAAAAATATAGTCATTTTAGCGCCATAAGTTTTCGATAAGTCGCAATTTACAGACCGTCCGTTTGGATATCCTTGTTTGAGTCTTTTTCGGCCTTGAGTTTGTTGTAGGCGGTTCGTCTTGTTTTGATGGCCCCAAGAGACATGGCGTGAAGGGCGCTGAGAAGCTCGCTGTGTTTCTTCCCAAGTCTCGACAGCTTGAGCCCGATGTCGCTGTGGAGCCACGGGGCGAAGTGACGCTTCATGATAAGGTCACTCATTCTGAATGATATAGAAAAATCACGATTGGTGCAAAGAATACATGGTTATATTAAAACTTAGCTGAAGAGCATCTGGTTAAAAGATGGTAATATCATTGGAAATGCAAAGTGATCATTGGGAATTCGAAGTGAGTCTTGATATTAAAATCATTACCAATTTATTTTCACGTTCACTGCAAATTTCGTTCAATAGCAAGAGAGAAAGTGCTGAAATATTCCACGACATAAATTCTGTACATTATTTTTCCCCACGAAAAGTAATGTTCATTTACAACAAGGAAAATTACAAAAATGAAATATTCGTCACAGTGGCGATGAAACAAAAGTATCGGGTAAGGGAAGGAAAAGCGGGCGAACAAATAATCACAAGCATATACGATGTAACGCCATCAATAACAAAAAATTAACGCTAAGAAATCAACAGGGATTCCAAATTGCTAAAGTTAGAAATACCGTAATGGGATGCGTAAAAACATTAAAATATTTGCCGGTCACACGGACGTTGCTCCGATGTGTGCGAGAAGATAGCCAGTACGATAAATCCTAAACTAATCTTCAGTAACTTGGGTACTGCTGTTGAGTAACGTCATACCATCACGATATGACATCACGCCAGAAATTTTCTTGTCATTTTAATTGTAATTGAATATTAACAATGAACGCTTCCAGGAGCATGTCCAGGAAAGCAAGACGTTTCTTACCATCTATGTAGCAGCAAATTAACTAAAATATTTACCCGTGAACAGCCTTAAGATAGTTGCATTCTTCGTCGTTCTGGGCGTTGATATCGACGCCCATGGCCGTCTCTACAAGAGAGAATGTTTTATTTTAACACACTATTTCGACCAACCAATGAGATAGCAAACATTAAGGGAATGTATGAAGTGGAGCAAGAATTTAAACAACTATTTGGGAAGTAAGACTTCGTTACAGAAAATTGATCTTTTTTCCTCCTTTTTAACTTATTTTCTGCAATATTTCTACAAAGTTCACGTAACTGGTAGTTTTTCGTGCCGCTCACGGGATGCATGCCAGATGCCAGCGTTGCCCAATACCAGCATTTCTTTCATTATCCTTTCCGTGCGTAAGCCTGCTACAGGGCAAAGTAGCCTAAGTGATTATTTGCTAAAAGCCATAGGTACAAATTCCCTTCATGGAAATGAACCAGCGAGCTAATGAGAAACAAGCCACCAATACAACCGCTCTAAGCCGTATTTAGAGCCGCCCAACAGTTCTATTCCATGTTGCCTAACGCCTAACCTCACGATTTTCGGTAAGAAACTCCCTACGCCACGTACAGCGCTGTTGGTGCACAGCCAGCACTAGTACTGGAGCCCGTCCGCTCGTCGCAGCTGATTTCCCCCAGCAAAACTTTACGCTATTAAAAGAGGATCTATACGAGTTGTAACCTAACGTAACCTAACTTAACCTAACCTAATTCGGGTAAGCATTAAAGGTCTGCGAGGAAAGCCTCCAGCCAGCCATGGCGGTAAGGAGGAGAGTCGGGGTAAGTGTGGAGGAAGAGGATGCTGGGGGATAGTAAGGCAGCGAAACAGTGACGCGGGGTTCACGTCTTGCGGAGTAAGTAAGGTGATGACGCATTACCGTTTGGTACAGTTCACATTTGCGACAATGCAGTGTGGTCAGCGGACACTTAGGATAACAGCATGTGTAAGAAGTGATGGTATGGGTTATAAATCATTGGTAAACGACGTATTGACCGTTAACTATGTGGAGTAGAAGTTTGTGAGCTGAACCAATTTTGGTTAAAGTTCGTGTGGTGAGATTTGGCAATTGACTACAGCTGCTTAGGTGCCATGATGACAATATTTATGGCATTTAGATGGTTGATGTTGGCTCCAGGGCTGATTTACGCGTCAATTTGCTGGTCTACGGCTGCGCACCCCCGCTCACCCATGATGATGTCCAACGAGCAGAGCTCCACCAAGGGGCACACGTTGAAGGGGGCGTCACCCACTCTGCTCTGGAGTTTGTCGACGAGACGCAAGGCTTGGTGGTTGAAAACCTCCACGAAATCTTCCAATATTTTGAAATGGAACGAGGGAGTTAGCAGGCGGCGACGGGACTTCCATGTTTTGCCTGAAATTGGAGATGAAAATACTACATAAATTTTAAAAGCAATGTAAACGCATCTCAGAATAATATGCGTTTAAAAAGTACTTTTTAAAAGGCCACACATCTAGAGAGGACGGTGTCGTCGATGTAACACATGTACAATGAATTACTTATTTTATTTTTTAATATTATTTTTTTTTTATTTTTTATTCTGTCAATTGATTCTTGCATTGTTTCGGACTTTACGTAAGTGTACAAAATTTCAGATCGATTGGAGAGGTAAAAGTGTGTTAATTATTGATTATAAGATTTATTGCAGACAAACAATAATTAAACTACAAAAAGAGAAGTTAAAGAGAAGTGTGGTAAAAATAAGACAGATGCTTGACCGTGAAAATCGATTGACCGTAGTATGTACCCTTTTAAACGTTGGGAATTATTAAATCTTAAACTACTGACCAGTGAATGAAGAAGAATGGGTCATTCAACACGGAAGGAGTACTCGGAAAAATGCGTACATCTTGTCAAGAACTCTGCATATTTTTTCCTCCTTGTCTTCATGTGTGTCATGCTTCAATGTGCATAATAGAGACCAAATTTTAGTAAAGTTAAAGGGTAAATGATAATGGCGCTTTTGGAAGGGGACAGTAGTAGTAAGGGGAAGGGGACTGTGTCCTGTAAAACTTACAAAAACTCACCGCCACTATTAATTGCACTATATATTAACTTGGACTCGTGTATAGGAACTTCTGGACACAGAAGGACCCATCAAGCATTTGCACGAGGCCAATTGCAAGATATATAACTAAATGGCAGTTAGTATTTGACAGTTGTACTGGCCGCCACCATGTTGTCTCATGTGCAATTAACTTTAAAAATGTGCATTATTCTTTAAACGTGAACGTTAGTGATAAGGAGATGGCGTTTACTGCCTATCATAGTGAAATATCATCAATAATTTCCCGGGAATAATCATTTTAATCAACGTAGTCGCAATTTTTATAGCATCTTATCAAAATAAGAGCACTGCAGAATTAATCAAATAAACGTTTATCTTAATAAACGTTTGCCTTAATAAATGTTTATCTTAATAAACGTTTATCTTAATAAAGGTTTGTTAAAATTAGGTTTAATTGCTGGCTACCAGTAGAGGTGAGCAGACTGATGCCAAGCCAAGGTCGCATGAAGTCATAGAGGCGGCCCTTTTCAATCAAGACGTTGCTGGTCAACAGACCCTGGGGACGACAAATTCTTTAATAATTTCTTTCTCATTAGTATTATGCAGCAAATTTTTGATTGATTTCAATTGTGATCCAAGAAACAGTCTTTGGGCACATGGCCATGGCAAAGCGTCAATGGGGTATAACTATTACCAAGATAGCCCCCGGGGGACCAGTTGCATGAAACAGCCAAGCAATGTTGAAGAACTTAGCCAGACTGCTTTACCAAAGTTCCACTTATTTTTATTTAGTCATGATTATACCGCTCATTTATAATACTAGAAGGCGAAGCATAAGAAAGAAAGGCTGAACGGCTACAAACAATAATATCGTCCATGGGAAACACACGGAGCCCCCAGAATACCTTGAACAAAAGTACTGTCCAAACTACACGAACGAAGAACCCTAAGGAACATGTTACACATAAGTAACCTTAAGTGCTATGTTCACACAGCATATTGAGCCCTATAAGAACACGTTGAACAGAAAAAATGTCCAAACTACATGTGGAGCCCTGAGAACATGTTACTAATAAATACACTTAAGTACAATGTCCAAACTACATGTGGAGCCCTGAGAACATGTTACTAATAAATACACTTAAGTACAATGTCCAAACTACATGTGGAGCCCTGAGAACATGTCACTAATAAATACACTTAAGTACAATGTCCCTGCAACACAATGAGACTCACCTCCACAGAGCGGCATTTGCTGAGCAGGACGTAGGGTTTGAGTCCTAAGTAGATTCGCGCGATGCCGTTGCCGTGCTTGGAGAAATTTATTAACGTTTGTAATAGTTCTGTGGAAGGGATGGGGGATGCTTTTGCGTTAGATGTGAGCATTTTTAATTTACATTTAGATGAAAGAATCAGCCAAATTGTTGAATAAGAACTGTTGTAAAGAGGTAACGAATAGATGACTATCAAGAACTATTATGACATTTTTACACATAAAAAAGCTTTTACTTAAATCTCTGTCATGAGACAATTTTTGACTGGAGCATCAAAGTGACACTACTCTACAAAATTTAAGCAAACTAAAACTAAATCTAACTAAACTAATACTATCCCGTTAGTTAAGGGGAGCGTCTGGGTCCAAGAAACACTTTTTTATTTACGGACGGATCACTTTGAAACTTCGTACACATGTGTAAAACAGAAATTTAAGACTTTTTTGTTCGTGTAAATTTTTCGAAAAAAAAATTAAAGAAAACGTGAAATTCTTAGAAAACGGCTAAAAAGGGGGTACTGTAGAAAGCTATCTCCTAGGATTTTCAAGCTACAGCATCGAGACGCATATCATTCGATGCGTAAGGAGCATATCTATCGATTCGTTTTAGCTTTTTTCGAAATTCGAATTTCTGTGGGTGAGGGTATTTCGTAAAATTTTCGAAACTTTTTCGATTTCCCCTTTTTTTCGCCCCCTTTTTCCAAATATTTTCGAAACTATAACGAAATTAAAAAAAAGCTAAAACCAATCTCTAGATATTTTATTTGCGAATCGAATGGCATATCTCTCATTGCTGTAGCTTCAAAACTGTAGGAGGAGATAGGTTTGCAGTGACAATAAGTGCGAATGTTCAGTAGGACACGACAAAGTCGCGCGTGCATCAAAATAGCCATTCAAGGTTGCAAGGAGGCAAGACTAGACGATACTGGAGCTTAATTTCTGTCAAGGATGGTGCGATCGACTGCACGCAAATCATCCCGTACGACAGCATGCGGGTTACTGAAGCACAGCCTGTTCACACTGGCTATATAACTGCACTGCGGGGAATTTGCCCGTATCTTAAATGTTAAAGAACTCCACCACCCCTAACCCTTTCGCGATCTGTCGTGAACGCACAAATCAACGTACAGAGATGGTTTTGGTACCGTTGGATAGGTCAGAAAGTCAGCTATAAGATGAGACTAAAAACGGGAAAAGCAAAAGTTGTCGATTTTGGACCCAGACGCTTCCCTTAAGGCTCTGATTGAGAACCGCGAGGCTTCGAACAGTCTCGGCCCTTCCCTATGAGTTTCTCTACAAATTAGGCTGAACTTTACTCCACTCATGAATGAGATGGCGATATAAATTTTTCCATGCTTACTCAGCTAATTATTCACAAACGGTGAACGGTAACAAAATATATGTAAACTTTGTATTAAAAGAGTTATGATGAAAGGAAATTTCAAGAAACTCTGAATATTAATATTCATCAAGTCTGCGACTTATACACTTTTCACGAGATGTCAACGGGTTATAATTTTTAATCTCCGTCGAATACTATACTCTTCATTTCTTGACAAGCCTCCTTGTTGTAGCTATTATCTACCAAAAACTAGTTGTGAACAAGCATGCTGATACGTGGAGGTAAAAGCCCGTATATTAACTAATTCGATGGAGGCTTTATGGAAGGTATTAGGGAAAGAGACGTATATGTAATGAGGGGCGATGAATAATACGTGGTTATTGGTCGGCATAGTCCAATTAGTTATAGCCGACCGCTGGCCATTCCTCGGCCGCTTGAAATTCGAAAGTTCCCGCAAAAAGGTCTGCCTAAGATATCATATTACTAAGACTACAAGCTCGAGGATAGCGACTAGCCGAGCTTAGGGCAGATCGAGGATTTCACACGATGGTCGCGAATACCTCGCTCTCAGACTTCGCGGCATTTCGACTACAAGCCTTAATCAAGTCTTAATCGTTTTTCTTGTGGACTAAAAAGTAGAAAATAAAATGCTTAAAAAAACTTTTTAAAAAACCACGCTTTTCTTGTGGACTAAAAAGTAGAAAATAAATTATGGCTCGCACCAAAAAACTTGGGTTGGGCATGTATACGTTCACCATCAAATTTCCAAAATTCGTGTGTTGTGTGCTTTTGGCTTTAATCATAAATCTGCCCGACACACGTTTTTTGGGGCGAGCCATAATTTATTTTCTACTTTTTAGTCCACAGAAAAACGTGTTTTTTTTTAAAAAGCGTTTTTTTAAGTATTTTATTTCATAAGAGCTGATGACGGGATTGATTGAATTATGTGTCATGTATTTACAATACACGATTATACATATTCTCTGACTACGAGCCTTAACTGAATCTATTATACTATAATAGATGTTGCGTTGCTATATGTGATGATGTGATGATGTTGTGTTGTGATGTTGTTGTGATGCTATAATAATTACAGCATCCCCCGTCACTCACGCTTGCGAGAGCCCAGCAGCTCCAAGGTGTTGCCTAACAGCGGCAGCGCAGGAGGCCCCGGAATGCGCTCCAGCAGACGCACCTGCTCATAAAAATCGCAATATTAAAATACATAAATTTAAATTAAATAATTTCAGGTCAACCATCCCGGTGCAACTTTAAATATTAAAAAATAAGATCAGTACTCACTGCAGTGAGTGACGGAGAGCGCATTTTCTCGTCCGTCCGTCCGTCCGTGAAGTCACAGACAGACAGACGGACGGACGGACATGACGAGCACAATGGTGCCTTCCTTCCATAAAGATGAAAATGCGCTAAAAATACGTATATATTAAATAATGTCATTTAACCTCGCCATTACAACTTTACATATTCCAAAACGTACGAAAATATTAAATAATTTCAGGTTAACCTTGCCGCTACAACTTGCAATATCAAAATACATGAACATAGATTGAATATTTTCTGGTGACCCTGCATATTTCAGCACCTATTCTTATTAAGCATTTCGGATAGAAGTTTAAAGGGAATTTTTCGTCATGAAGGTTTGAAAGTATTTTAGATCGCACTCTATTTACATATACTGTGGAATTAATCACGATATTAAGGTGGACGTTCAACGAGCAATCAGGAATTTAAGGTTTATTATCTATGACAACGCCGGCATTCCGTTATTATTTATTTTTATTTTGTATGTATATTAGGAAATTTAATAATGTTTTGACGGTAGCATCGATTGCGTTAGATTGCGTTATAAACATCTAATGGATTCGGGGTCATAGGGTACATTAGGCATACAATACGTTTGGCGTCATTGGGAACACAGCTAATGCGTTCGGGTTTATCGGGTACACAGATAATGAAATTTGAATGAAGTAAAATTCCAAGAAATTTGTGAAATTTCATAAAATTTTGTACCCGGCCATCTTGATTCATCATCGAGTTCACATGAGACTGAGCATTCATCTTCGTTTCTTTATCAGGCGACGAAAGTTTAAACATGATGCTGCAAGGAAAACTCGGGGAAAATTTTTTATCTTCGTTCGTATAAGTCTCCAGGGAAGGAAAATTTTATTATTTATCTGGTGACTTATTTGTAAATCTTGAATCATTTTCCATTCAACCCTGTTTAAATCCTATCAATCCTGCTCTCGCAACCCTTAAATCCTGTTTAAATCTTGCTTTCGTATGTAGTGGAGACGCTGGATAGTGGAATATCAGCAGAGCTTATACATAGTCCACATTTGAGATTTATTATTCATCAAAAATAGGATTTCAGAGAGATACTCCGAATAAAAATTTAATCTCGTTGATTCCGAACAAAATCCTGCTGCCGATCAGCGAGATTGAATCAACTGTCGGAAGTATTTTTCTACATATGCCAGGAGGAAAATCAGGTAGTTAAAGGGCATCCTGTTCATGCGTCGCCTAAGATCTTACGACGAATGGGAAGCAGGAGGGTTTTAGGAATTGCTGAAAAAATATAACTCAGTATTCACTGCAGTGAGCGACAGAGAGCGCATTTTCTCGTCGACGAAAACGAGAATTCACGGACAGACGGACAGTCAGACGGACGGACGGACAAGACGAGCACAATAGCGCCTTTTTTCCATAATGAGAAAATGCGCTAAAAACGATCTTGTTTGTATCACTCACAATTAAGAAAATTTTTTTTAACGTAAAATATATGTAAATATATATAAAAATATAGACAAAATATATTTTAAATACTAAATATGTCTTTATTTTGCTATTTATATATCTGCTAAACCACTATGGGTTCCCGGAAAGATGAAGAAGAGCACTACGATTGTGAAACCGAGAAATAATTTTTCGTGTACATTAAGTTAATTTTTATGTTGATTTCCAACTAACAAAATATCAAAATGATAGCAAAAACGTTATAAATCGTGACTCAAGTCTTCCATTCTTAATTGTCTTGAGATATATATGAACTGATGAGAAGCAGTGATTTTGAGAGCCTGATTAGATAAACTCTGTTGGAGCAATTTCGTGACTAAGGAAAATACAGGGTTATATAGTATAGCCGCTGGCAAGGCTGTTCATTACAAAATACAAAGCAAAAATCTTCCCTTACAAAATGCAAAGCAAAAATAGTCCATAACAAATACAAAGCAAAAATTACCCCATACAAAATACAAAGCAAAAATTATCCCATACAAAATACAAAGCAAAAAATCACCCCTTACAAAATACAAAGCAAAAATTGTCCTTACAAAATACAAAGCAAAAATTGTCCCATACAAAATACAAAGCAAAAATCGTCCATAACAAAATACAAAGCAAAAATTGTCCCATACAAAATACAAAGCAAAAATTGTCCCATACAAAATACAAAGCAAAAATTGTCCCTTGCAAATACAAAGCAAACACTAAAACATTTTTTCTCGGTAATATGACGGAAGATGAGGAAAATATAACGATATGAGATAACGTGCTTGCATTGATAGCGACGTAGAGGGTGATATTGATAAGAGATTGCTTGCATACGAACTGAAGGAGAATTTGTTCATGTAATGCGCTATGCTTTGTAATGCGCAAAACACTTGTAATCATCATAACATTTGTTGATAGTGAAGCTTTCCCAAGAAAATATGATGACTGAAGGTGTCCTTGTACTGGTAAGTCTGGACCTGGTAACAACATCTTTTTTTCTTAATACAGGGTGAACCAGAATTAAGTAACCCTTTTAATTTGTTAATAAATAAAAAACTAAGAACGTTATGAAGTTGAAACTTATTTTATTTAAAAGAAGAACATTTTTATGGTAATATTGTATCCTAGTTTTTAGGATACAATAACTAACTAGGATACAATATTACATACAATATTTCAACTAATACATATTATTAATACATAATAAATATTTTAACTAATACAATAATAAAATATTGTAATAGGATACAATATTTTAACTAGGATACAATATTACCATAAAAATGTTACAACTTCATAACGTTCTTAGTTTTTTATTTATTAACAAATTAAAAGGGTCAGTTAATTCTGGTTCACCCTGTATAATAGTAATATAATATAGCAGTGTCAGCGCTTATTATAACTTAGGCCTGTCGTCGATTCTTAACATTGCAGAACATCCACAGCTCGTTGCGAGCTAGCTTAAGTGAACCCGCAACTCACTGCATCAAAACTTCATATCATAGAATAGCAATTTGTCCATGAAATCATTTGAAAAGTGAATGCCAATTAAATTCTTGGAAAATCTTCATCGTTATAGCTTCGATGAAGATGTGGTGAATTTACCTGAAGGTTTCATCAAATTCACACATAAAATGTGAATTTGAATAACATTTAATGATATGTTTTCTTTTTGCTCAGTCGAAAGTGAATAAAATTTACGATGAGGTTAAATCCGAATAATAATTTTCAAACTAAAGTAACATGAATTAAAAAATGATACTTTTGAATCCTCATCCAACCCAGAACTTTAATATTAAGCTCCCGTTTAGCCAGGACTTCAAATTTTATACTTAGTCGTGTAATCCTGCGACATTACGAAGCGTGGTTTAGATGGCAGTAAATGAACAAAATCCAATTTGTATGAATTAAAAATTTTAATAAATTAAGTTTGGAATTTGATGTCATGCCGCGCCGAATAAACCTGCTACGCATCAAGCAAAAACTGAACGATAAGCGTTCACTTGCTTGCTGAAGAAATAAATACATTATTTCTTAATTCACCTGGAAGGTAACCGCAACATCAACAAGCTGATGAATCTGCTACACCTACATTATTATTTCATTTTAAATTCACTTATTATATTACATTTAGAGGGCCAGCCAGAAATTGAAGGCGAAATATTAGTCCGATATGACGGATGGGCTTCATTCATAGACAAAAAAAAATGTCATTTTAAAACGGACATTTATGTACAGCTGGACGATAGAGAGATAAACAAAATAAATAAATTTTTAAGATATGTACATGAAGCGAGTCTCACCTTGCGGTATCTCTTGAATGCCATCGACACGAAGATGAAGAACAAGACGAAAAGAAGCGTCTCAAAAAACATGGTTGACTGCCTGCCTACTATAAAAATCTAATAAATAATCTAGGCTTTTGAATCGAATTAACTTAACAGAAGAAGAGACCACTACATGTAATGCTTGAAAAATGTTTAATTTCACCAAACGACACCTATTTATTACAAACGGGTTGAGATTAATAACTCAATAGAAATATGGAAATAAAGATTGCTTAAACTAACTTGAATTGTAAACGAAACAGTCCGTATTAGAGCCGAACCCGGCGCCGATCTTGGCCGGTACAGCCGCGTTTTAGCAGGACGGAGCCTTGCAATAATAAATGGATATCTATCTTTATCATAACATCATTTTAGTGCTGCTTTCGAGAAGGTAAACAAGAAACGCAATTCTTATTGTAAGAATTTTAAGAAGGGTTGTAATTCAATTGTAATTTTAAGAAGGTTTACTGTGCAGAGAGACCAGCCACGGAGTTATGCCAGCCTTTCATCACAAGAGGAAGATAAAGAAGTGGAGGATGGAAGATAGAAGAAGAAAGAAGTGGAGGGTTCAAGATATAGAAATAGAAGTGTCACAGATAAAGAAGTGGAGAATAGAAGATAGAAGAAGAAATAAGTGGAGGGTTCAAGATAAAGAAGTGGAGAATAGAAGATAGAAGAAGAAATAAGTGGAGGGTTCCAGATAAAGAAGTGGAGGTGTCACAGATGATTCCCTCGCACTATTTGTTTTAAGATCAAACGATTCAAAAATTACATTGCTTTGTTTGCTTGTGATGTTTTTTGCTGGAGTATATAGATAAACGTTTTCAAAACAACACCTCCATCATTAATAATTATAATACTCCTATAAAAATTTTAGAAAAGTTTTAAAGAACAAAAGACAACTGAGAAATAATCCTCGAAACTCATCCTTTTATAGCGGATAACAGTAATATTTGCCTTGCGATAATGGAATGGAATATTAAATTACAATATTTATTTAAACGTTTAGCTAATGATTTGAATTTATCTATGTAAGTTTTCGGATAAGAACAAAATAAGAAAGATCACAACAAATTTACCTTTGAATAAATAGTTTTTCTACCCCTTTCAGTAAATCGAGCAGTGTGAAGTGGTCATCCAACTAATTAAAAAAACTAATTAAAAACGTACAAAATGTAATTTATTTAATAATTAAAACGTACAAAATGTAATTAATTAATAATTAAAAACGTACAAAATTCAGAACATCGTGGTAAAAAGTGAATTAAATTACGTTAATTTAAAGAGGAAATTCAATAATTAATAAAAAATTTGGGACATTTTTGATAGACACACTATGTGCAAAAGCGAGTATCCAGGATGGATATGTCCTGAATTAACTAATGCTTATTAATTAATATGCATATCGTGAATTAAAGAATGTTTTTTAATTAAAAGGCATGTTATGAATTAACGAATGCTCACTAATTAAAATGCATGTCTTTAATTAACGAGTGCTTATTAATTAATATGCATGTCTTGAATTAACAAAAGCTAATTAATTAATATGCATGTCTTGAATTAATAAAAGCTAATTAATTAATATGCATGTCTTGAATTAACAAAAGCTTAAATCTCAGATTCTTTAATTCGGCATAGGTTTATTCATAGAACAAATAGCCAATGAATCACAGGCTGGTACAAACTTAATAGTGATCGCATAGTCTACTCATTATTAATTTCATCCAAGGACGTATTGAATTTCGGTTAATAATATTTTATAATTAATTTATATTTTTAATTAATATGATTAATTCCATTTTATGATGGTTGTTTCATTAGAATTTCTCAAGAGAATTTTGCTTTCAATCAGGATGCTACATTAATAAAAGTTAAAAAATAGAATAAAAATTTTAGCTTGTCCCTGTAACGCAGCACTCAAAGAAATACTGAGACTTTGTCAAAAAAGCGGTTCACTCCTTGCCATTGTGTGAGTCAATCTGACCGATACAAGGCCAGAAGAAGAGCTCGTTTGGCTTGAAAAAAGAACGTATCAGTGCTACGTCCGCTTTATTTTCGAGCTGTGGGTAAGAAAATGAATCGCTAATTCGATAATATGGCCCCTTCGAATTTCTGTGAATGAGCTTCCAGGAGAGAACCAGCGACAACCTCCCGCACTGAGCGCTAAGCGCCGAGTGACATCGCAACCGCCACCCGCCTGTTCCAGTGCCATCCAGACTCCGCGTGACACCCGCGGTCACGCGTCTGACACATGTTGTTGTGTCACGATGTTGTCATACAAAAATTGACGTTGAGAATTGAATTGTGATAGTTTCTGCGCTTGTAATTCTCAAGGAAAATGTTTCTAATGCTTGCGTTGCACACTTTATACCGCGACAGAAGTGATGTTAAGTGATGTCATACGGTGCTGTCGAGAAGCCTCTTATCTAGCACTAGCATGTTATTAGTGCTAGCCTCTTAACTAGCACCAGCATGCCATTAGTGCTAGCCTCTTAACTAGCACTAGCAACGTACAAGTGCTAGCCTCCAACCGCTGCAATCAAAGCACTTGAGGGCCGCTGTGATAAAACCTTCACTCGGTGCTTGCATTAAGAATTGGTCGCACATAATAAGTATAAGGTCATACAGTCAACGCAGTAGAATTTTGTCTTATTATTATTATTATTAATTTTATTATTATTATTATATGATGAGCATTTTTAGCGCATTTTCTCATTTATGGAAAAAAGGCGCTATTGTGCTCGTCATGCCCGTCTATATGCCCGTCTGTCTGTCTGTCTGTCTGTCTGTCTGTCCGTGACTTCACGTTTTCGTCGACGAGAAAATGCGCTCTCTGTCACTCACAGCACTGAGTACTGAGTTTTTTTTTTCACTCGAGGTTCTATAAAACATTAGAAGGTCTAATAGAGCAATCTTTTGTGGCGACTCCAATATTAACCTGTACAATCCCCCTATAATCTTCAACGAACAATTTTATTCATGACATTCTTTATAGAAATTTCAATTCAGTCTTAACTAAAGCAACCAGAATCTCCCCTGAAAACCCCATTACGCCTTATTTACTGCTTGATCTTATTTGGTGTCGTTATTGACTGTGACTAATCAGATAAATTTATGACATTCTATTATTTTCGAACTGGGTTTTCGAAAAATTCTTTTAGGAAAAAAAAACTTGCCTTATTAACGCTGGCAAAATTCAAAAGTTTAGGCAGAAAATGACTCATTTACCTTTTGTATTTCTAACTAATATTGATTAACCTAACCTTGCAATGCAGTCTTGCATGACCGAACTTTCCAAAATTTACAATGCATCTTTTCCTATAAAGTTTGTCACGATTAGGAAGCCTCGGCCTCCTTGGGTGACCGCCGAAATAAAGTCTGCCATCAAGAAGAAGCATAAACTTCCAAAGCTTTCTCGCACTGGTGTAATTTACAATGGATTTTACGCTACTTATCGGAATCTATTGAATGCGCTATTGCGAACAGTTAGCCCATATGCCTGGAATTATTTTCTGAAAATTTATTTTTGGTTTCCTGTGAGATTATTATCACTTGTGACAGTAATAAATAAAAAATATATTCAAATATTTATATTTCGCTGTATGTGACAAATTATAGCTTGGTTCCATTGGGAACCGGGCTAAATATTTCATGATCTAAATAACTTTAGAAACATTATAACACGTAATAACATACACAGCATTAAAAGTACTCATTTTATCGATAAAATTTACCATCTATCTTATAAATAATATATTTTTAGAACGAACTACTTACCTTTCTCCGCTATGATATCAAGCCGTCCTGGGTGGCACATGGTTCTCATAATTTTTTAATGGTAACTAAATGTTAACTTAACTTTAACTTTTACTGTTAACTGAACTCGACTAAAATCCAGCCGGAGTCGAACGACTCTATAGGGTTTTATGGGATATTGTCAACTCCTTACTGGTAAAGAATCTTGTACTGAAAAAAATAGTTGCATTGTCATAAATAAAAAACAAGCTTTATATATATGTCTGGCACCGATATGCATGGCTACTGAATTCAACGATTATTTTACTTCTGTTGGCTGCGACATAACAAAAGATTTAGGTCCTATATGAGAGATGCTACGACTATTGGTGTTCCTTTTTGTGAGGCATCTTGCTTTCTATCTTCTACTTCTGCATCGGATAATTGAAAAGTTTATTTCTATTATGCTCAGGCGACAGGCTTCATATTGAGGAAATTCAGCCAAGTATATTTTTTGTAGTAATTGCTGACATCGCAGCGTCAGTTTTAGCACATATTTTTAATTTGTGTATGTCTCCTGGAGTCTACCTTGATGTCCTGAAACATGCCCTTGCCATACCCGTTTTTTTATCCGGCAACTCGAATAATGTGTGCAACTATCGCCCCATAACTACTTTACCTTCTCTAGGGGCACTAACATGATTATGTCAATATTAAATCTAGTCCTAAACCTCCTAATGGCATTCCTTGCTAAATCCTACTGTGTTGCTCTTCTCCTAGATTTGCAAAAAACCTTCGATAGCGTAAATCATGAAATTTTCTTAAGTAAACTCTACCGATATGGTATCAGGAGGCCTTTTCATTCAGTAATATTCAGTTATATTTAACCAACAGAGAACATTACGTTTCCTTAAACGTGTTTAAATCACCCATTAGACCAATTAAGATTGAAGGTACACAGGGCTCTGTTCTCGGGCCTCTATACTACAACATTTTTATAAATGATATTTGCTGCTCTTCTTACGTGAACTGCAAGCTCGTTGCTGATGGCGCTGTATTTTATATCTCGAGACGTACACGATGACACGTGTGATATTATATCAGAGCTGTCAGCAAATTTCTCAAGGTTGTTATTAGACAACAAGTTAGTGGCGCTCGCTGGTAAACTAAACAGATGTTCATTACTCCGATGAGCATCTGTCCGATGAGCATCATTTCTGAAAATAACCTTCAATATGACAATGTTAGATTGAGTCGACGATTTTCGGTATCTGGGCTTGATCCTCGAAAACAATATTTTTTTTAAGCAACACATTACCAACGTCTGTCAGGGTCTCAGTAAAGCCCACGGAGTTCTACATATGCTCTATCCAGCGTCTTGCCTCTTTCTCTTCATTGAAAACGCTTG